CCTCGGCCGTCTTCCCAGATCCTGTGCTGGGCCTGCCCGCGCCGCCATTTCCTCCCGCGGGCCCAGAGGCTCGCTTCCAGTCCTCGGAGTTTGCAAATGGCCGGGGCCCGGAATGGCCTGTCCCTTGGAGGAGCCGAGGCGAGGCCCGGCCAGGTCGCAGAGTGCAGCCAGCCCGGCCAAAGGGCCTTCCTTCACCTCCCAGAAGCCAGTTGGGCCCTGGGCCGCGGACACCGACCCATCACGGCGGGGCGGCACAGTGCCTGGCGGGCGTCCCCAGGGTGGCCCACGGGCTCCAAGGTTCACGAGAAGCCACGAGGAGTGCCTGCCTTAAGGGGATGTGGTGCCTCCAAATGCCAGCCCATCTCTGGAAACCTCTGGAAACCACCGACATACCAGGGGACGCATGGGACGTGTATGTGTGTGCGTGCACATGTGTCACACACAGAACACACGCATGCACATGTGTTGCAAGCACAGGACATGTCATGCTACACACACGGGACATGTGTGCACATGGGCGCTACATGTACGTGACACATATGTGCTACAAGCACAGGACACGTGCGTGTGTGTGTTGCACATGGCACGTGTGTGTGCATATGTTACATGCATAGGAGATTGTACATGTTATATGCAAAGAACAGGTGTGTACATGTGTGCCACACACCAGACACAAGTGTACATGTGCATTACACATGACACATGTGCATATGTGTGTTTCATGCACATGGCACCTGCATGTGTGTTACACACAAGATATGTGTGTACATGTGTTACACGCAACACGTGTGCACATCACACACAGGCCATGTGTGCACTACACAGGACACGTGTGTGCACATGAGTCACACACAGGACATGTGTGCACTTGCTTTACACACAGGACACGTGTGCAGACACGTGTGTTGCACACAGGACACGTGTGCACGTGTGCAGACACGTGTGTTGCACACAGGACACGTGTGCACGTGTGTGCTGCACACGGGACACCTATGTGCGCACAAGTGTGTTACACACACAGGACACCTTGCATGCGCGTGTGTTACGCACACAGGACATGTGTGCGGCGCACCTGTGTTACACGCACACACCATGGTGCACCCGTACTGGCACAGGCCTGCCGTCCACACCTGACCACTGCGTGGACGTGCAGAATGAACGTGGGCTTTGGGGGGCGGCAGGCCCAGGTCTGAACCCCACCCCCCATCTTCAGCAGGTGGCTGAATCTGGGGGCCCCGTGGCAGGGCCAGTGCCTCCCCTGGCCAGATGGAAATGGTGCCAACCCCCATTCTGCACGCATCTCTGAGACTCGGGGAGAAACCAAGGGCTACCAGCAGGCATGTGGTGCTCTCTGCGAGCCGAGTGCCACGCCACGTGTGCCTCGTGTGTGCTACCAGGAGGCAGGGGCACTTACTGCCCCCCTTTTACAGACGAGGAAATGGGGACACGGAGAGGTGAAATGCCTTGCCTTGGATCAACACGGCCAAATAAAACCTACTCAGTCTGAGCCCCAGCCTCAGTCCCAGAGCTCACGCTCTTCTTCTGTACTCTGCTTTCTCAAATGGGAAAGGCGCCCGGCGTGGTGTGGGCGCACGGCTGCTAGTGTAGCCACCATCACTCTGCCGTTCCTCCAAGACCCTGGACCTCAGAGCGGGGGCTGCTTTGCTTTGCCCGTCTTTAAGAGCGCCCAGACCCGCGTCAGCCATGTTCTTGGAGCTGCTAGTAAACACAGTTCGGATGCCGGCACGGGGGTCTGAAAAGACCACATGGGAACGGAGCAAGTGGAGAAAAAAAATCCAAGAGCAGAATCACTAGAGAAAGCGGCTTGCAAGGAGCTCTGGCCAATTTCATCCACTTTTCACGCCTCCTGCCCCTCCCCAACATCTCCACCAACAGGTACGTTCCTTGAAATAAACAAGCCACAACAAAGCGCTTCTATTAACGAATGGAAGGAGCCTTGGGGAGCTTGCAGCAGACGGCGGAAGCAAGCGCCCGTCTCTCGCTCAGGTTCGGCAGCAAGCACCAAGGGAAAGGCAGCCTCGGCGGCTGGGAAGGGCAGGGCCGGACCCCCAGAATTGGAAACAGCAGGAGCTGATGGGGGGGCCGCGGGGAAGAACCCTCAGAATTGGTTATATCACAACGTGAGCAAATTCACCTCATAAACAGTTATCGTTTGTAAATTACGGTGGCCGTAAAACTTCTCTGTCTTCACGTGTGCTGATGGCCAATGAATTCTGCACCTCGTTATCTTGGGGAGATCATTTTCTTTTTCAAGTTTACAGCTACTCTTTGTAGTTCACCTGTTGAATGTTTTTTGTGGGGGAGGGGGAGGGATTTAAATGTACCTTTAAACATGCAAAACATTATGCGATTTTTCACAAAGATCTCAAAACAATTTTCTGTCCACTATACAGAACAGCTAGAGATTTCATGAAGATCTCAAAATCTAAAGTCCCAAATGCTGTAATTTTGAATTTCAGTCTAGTGTTAACGCTGTTTGTGCTGCCAGATGACATAAAAATTGGTAATTAATTAAGACCCTTAAGGTCCGTTTACATAGGGCATTAGGAGTCTTAAAAGGCAAAGACAAAGACCAAAATTTAAATTATAATCTAATGACAGAGAGGGTGTTTCCGCTACCGAACTGTTCGGGGGATGAGAAGATCGATGCACGGGACCGTTCCACTACACCAGCGCAATCTGTTTATTTTGACCTCCGTTCTTCGAAATTGTCGACTCCACAATTGAAATACGCAGTGTGTTTCAACAAGGACCCAGCAGTCGTAATGACAGACCAGCCCATCTGTGTTGTAAGAATGTATAATTTCAGCCTACAGTGGGATTTATGTACAAGCAACGATAGAACACTGCTCTGTGCGATACTTCCTCCAAAAAAAAAAAAAAAAAAAACCCAAAAAACTGCCGAGAAGAAATGGGTGCCGTGGAGAAGGCTGATATTTTGCCTGATCTGGAACACAAAAGATTCCATGGCATTTTCCCGATGGGGGGAGGGGGGGAGGCAGAATGTTATTACCCAAGTTAATAAACAAAGATGGTAAGTGATCTCACAGAAGCACCCCGCTCTGCTGGGCGTAAAACGTGCTAGCCGTACACGTTACAACCTTTAGGTGAGCAGAATCTCGGTGGAAAATACAAATTCAGGATGAAAATGCTCATTTGTGGAAATTAATTGATTTTATGCTACTTGCTCTTATTTCCGAAAAGGAGATGAAGTCATGTTCAGGAAATCGGACTGTCATTCCAGGATTTGGGATTTGAGACCTATTCACCTACACTGGTTATACCAAAAAATAAAATTTTTGGAGAGGAGGCGTGGGCAGCGATCAAAAGCATAAATTCTTCAAGAATGATGGGCCCTCCTTTTCCCCGACCCACCTCTCTCCACTCTCGCCTCTTGTGCTTTAGGATTTATGACACTCTGTTTTTTTCCTATTACTTCTATTTTGTCGCCGGTGTTTTATTCGGTGCTTGCTAAATGTTGGGGTGGAATGACCCTCCGGCTCATAGCAGCAGAATGTGGCGTTCTACATTCACGATCACGAAAATGTTTTAATTATCTCTGCCATATCCGCCTGTCTCTATAGCCCCAAACCTCCAGTATCGACTGCTGCCTAATCTAAGAACAAAAGCAGCCGTGATAGTGCTTGTGTGAGCCGAGCTCACTTTTATATGTGGTGGGGTCTGCCCCGGCCGGCTGCTCAGACCCACACAGACAGGACCCAACGCCTCCGAATTAGGAAAACAAAGATGTATTTACGTGGGAATTTTCCTCTCAGTTGCAATGTAGAACTTTCTGGGCCTGATTTTCCCTTTTCCATAAATCAAGACCCCAGCTACCCTCAAACGTGGGGGTGGGGGGGGAAACCCAGGCTGCATCCGTGGGTTCTTTTGTCAGCCTGCCAGAGGACGGAGGTGATTCGCAGCTGAACTCTGCAAAGCCCACCTTTTAAATGAAAAGGGTCAGCAGTATGGAAGGGTAGGGGACCATCACAGGAACTCGGGCAAGCACGGGGTTCAGCGTGGCCTGGGCACGCAAAGGTCTTTGAGGGACTTCCACCCCCGCTGGCCATGGCTCAGGCCCCGGACAGTCGAGTGTCTGGGCTCGCAGCTCTGCAGATGGGAAACCAGGATGGGAGCCGGCACAGGCCGGGCCTGGACGCCTCAGGCCCCCGAGGGTCCGTCTGGCCCACGTGCACCCCACGCACCGTCTGTGGGCAGGGCGGTTATGAGCTGGGCACAGCGCCGTTAGGCGGAATCCCTGGGCTTAAATAAGTGTTCAAAAAACAAAGCACCAAACCACCCAAAAGATTTTCCCCATACTGAGCTGAGAGCCGAAAAGAGCCTTCTTTTCCCTCCCCTCCTCACCCGAAATAAAATAAAACGAAAGGCAGAAAAGAACCGGATCCCTAAACCGAGGACATGGCAGCATTAAAGATGCCGGATAAAATAAAAGGGCCTCTGTTTCTCAATGCAGAACCCACCCTCCCGTACGCCGGCCCAGCCCTGCCTGCCGAGGACTTTGCAGGGAGGAGCAAGGGCGCTTTGGTGTTTTTCCCTCGGCCACTCCTGGCACCACCGAAAATTAAGACGATAATAATAACGGTAATAGTAACGAGACCCCCACGAGGAACCGACCCCGCTGAGCAGGAGCGAGCAGGCCGCACCTATTCACGCCTCCTGAAACATTCGTTCAAATTACAATCGAGCATGCAGCTCCTGTAAAATAACAAACATTCATTTTTATTGTGATTCCCAAAGCCTAGAGCTTAAAAATAAACGGGCCCGGCTTCTGCATTTTCCCTGCAGTTTTTTGGAAAGGCTCACTTCACCGAAGGCTGGTTGCTGGGGGGGGGGGGTCGGAAATAGAATTTTGAATTTCGATAACCAATTAGAGGGAAGGAAACGTAACAGGCATGGAGCACAAGATGGCAGAGCCCTCGGCCGATCTCCAACAGAAGAGAAGGAAGAAGGGGACTTACCCAAGGTGCAGGAGGCTGGGGAGCTTCCTCAAAAGCAAGGGAGTGGAAGCGGTGCCCCCTGGGACGGCTGGGCACAGTGGCGGTGGTGGGGGGAGGGCAGGGCCCGCCGGCCAGGAGGCCGGCCCCCCCCAGCCCGGTGGCAGCCCCAGGTCCGACGGGCCCTCAGCCGTCCTGCTCTCTGGCCACCCTCATCCATCGGTCCCCCGGTCGCGGCTGGCGCGGCCTGGGCCTCGGCCACCCCGGCACCCGGAGGCAGGGCCGCCAGGAGCCAAGTGGTGCTGGGGAGGCTCTGCTGCCAGCCCAGGAGGCCGAGGAAAATGCTACTTTTGTCTCCTGCTCTCATCTGGCACTGGCTGCCCGGGGAGGGGGGGCCAGAGGCGGCCGCTGCGGCTCGGCCCCGCCCACCGGGAATTTTTGAAAGATGCTCTGGGTGCCTGGAGGATGGCAGACGTGGCAGAGGCGGGTGGGCCGGACCCCCGAACCCACCACCAGGCGCGGGGAGGGGGGGGGCGCGGCCGAGCGGGAGAGGGAGGAGGCGGCAGGCGCGGCTGGCCACTCAGCGGCCGGCCGAGGAGGCCGGGGGAGCCGGCCCAGCCCCGCGCCCGGCCCCGGCGCCAGCCCTCCCCGCGGCCAGGCGGCGCGGCCCTGGGCGCCATGTCGCTCTGGAGGCCGGGCGGCCCGGCCCGCCGTGGGCATAGAGGCCGCATTGTTCCCGCGCCCGGCCCGAGGGGGAGCGGGCGGTGGCCGGCACCCAGCGTGCTCCCGGGGTGGGGGGAGGGGGCCGGGCCCGGGGCGCCCCCACCCGGCCAGCTCCACGGGCCCCCCAGCCTCAGTCTTGCAGGGAGCCCAACCCAACCCCGGGAGGCCATGCCACCTCGGCCCAGAGCCTGGGCCGGGGCTCTGAATCGGCCTTGTGTCCATTCGAGTGGCCGCCTGACCCCGGGGCCACACCACCTCCCCAGGCTTCGGTTTCCCCAGCCACAGAAGGGACGGGGAGGACGGCCCCCACCCCTCAGGGCTGCTGGACGACGGAATAAGGAAGGCACATGGAGGGCCAAACACCCATGCAGGGCACCCTGCTGGCGCTCGGGAGCCGGCCGCCTTGCCCAGAGGGGCTGCAGGCCGCCACGAGGTCGAGTCCAGGGTCCACCACACCCTCTGAGGCCATCACACCCTCTTCAGCCCCACCGAAGCCAACTGTGGCCAGCACACGGGGCAAAGGTGAAGTGTGCTGTGCTCCAGGCCTCGGGCCCACCGACCGGGCTTTTAACGTGGAGGTTTTATTTGGCGATTTGTCAGATGCCGCTGGCGTCCGCTGAAGGCATCCGGGCCACATCTGTGCGGCCACTCTGTCTGCCCAAGTCTCTCCCTCGGCCCTTTACGTGGCCAGGCACCTGCTGTCCCCGCGCCTGGTGAGCTCCAGGGCTGTCAGTGTGAGATGGGGGCTCCCCAGGCAGGGAGGGGGAACTGCACAGACTGCCCGTGGCTGGGGCTGCCGCCTCGGCTTACAGGCCTTTCTGTTGGCAGCGACTGGCGGTAAGGGGCCATCGGGACACCTGAGCATCTGGGGACGGGAGTTCGGGCTCAGACACGGTCATGCCCCAGAAGGAGGTGGAGGGGCGAGGCGGCTGAGCAGGCAGGAAGCAGCCCAGGAGAAGCCCTCGGGTCCTCGGGCTCTGGTCTCACGCACACGGCCACGTGACCGGCCCGCCAGCTGATGCCAGAGACAAAGCAGGTAGGATTCCGATGCCACGCGCCTGACCAGGAACGCCGGGAATTCCATTCCGGGCACAGCTTGGCACAGCCGCCAACAGCCTGGCCCCGGGAGGAGAGGGTCCTCCCCCCCCCCGTGCCCCACGGGGAAAGCCACCGAAGACCAGGTGGCCATTTTGGGGCCGGCCCTGCCAGAGGAGAAGACGCCACAGCTGCACCAGCACACACAGAATATCCCCACAGCCAGAAGCCGCCTCCGCTGCACCAGCTGGATGGCCCGGAGATAACGGCCTCCGCCCCAAGGCCTGCAGGCCAGCGTGGGGCTCAGGGCACAACACATCAGTCACGGCAGCCGGGCAGCCGGGCCCCATCGGGTCCTTCTTGGATGGCAGGCACCCTGTGCTGTGAGGTGTGGCCGCAGCGCCACTGTGTCAGGGCCAGAGCCCCCAGAGACAGGCCCTTCTCCTGGCAGGGCGGGGAGGGCCCCGCGGGTGACATGCTCAGGGCACACGTGTGTCCCTGCAGGCCAGAACACGCATGTCTGGTGCGTCCTGGGAGCCCAGGCAGGTCTGGGTAATGTGATGAGCAACGTGCTTGCAGCTCGCTGCCGCAGCGTCTCTTACTGTGACAACATAAGGAACACGGAAGCCCCCCCCCCCACCGTTTTATTATAATTTAAAATGTAATTATAAAAGGCTGATTTGAATGTAAATATCGCCGTTAAACACACGAAAGGCGAATCGAGATTTAAGAGCCCCCAAACCAGCAGGTAAATATTTCAGCTAAATGCTCCTCCTGCCCTTCCGAGACCCCAGAATTAAGGAAGGGCGGTTCACTGAAAAAACCCAGCCCTGGCCTTGGAAGCCAAAGACATCAGGGACAGCATCCTGTTTCAATTCTAAGGGAAAATTCTATCACTCCTTTAAAAAAAAAAAAAAAAAAAAAGGCCGTTGTACTTTGCACATCTCGGGCACACGTTTCCAACCACAACCGCCAATCGCCTGACAAATAATAATCCTCGCCTCTGCTGCTCACATGTCTACGCAGAGAACCCACCTCTCAGCCACCGACAGGGCAGCAGGCCCCGCCGCGTGTTCAAGGGCTCCACCGCCACGGCCACATGGCCTTCCGACCCGTCTGGAATCCGACGCACACAAGTCCGCCACCCGGAATCTCCCAGGAAGGCCGTCAGGCGTTTACTCCTGAAGCCCCCTCACCCCAGTGAAAGCTCGTGTTGGGAAGGTTTTGTGCCTCATGCCACACAGTTCCGGCATTTCCCACTTAGATTTTACCCATCCCACCTACACGGCCTCAGGAGATGTTTTGGCCACCCCCCCCAAAAGAGATCTCTTCAGAGCATTTTGGGGGTTCAGTTTAAACAGACCACAGCTAAGCGGTTCCAGGATTTAAAAAAAAAAAAAATGGAAAGGAAAGGATGTAAAAGCAGGTTTAAAAAATGAAACCTCATTTTTTGAAAGCCAAATATTATCATTTGCCAGCAAAGCCTTACAGGTGAAGGGGAAGCCTGGCAGGGAGCGGACTCTCGTCTCAGCCCTCACCAGGCCTGGGGCCGCTCCCGCCCCTGGCGTCACCCGCTTCGAAGGGGCATCCAGGCCGAGGACCCCCTTGGCTGGCAGAGAGCCCAGGTCGATTAGCCACCGCAGCCTTTCCAACGTCCCCCCCGCCCCCCAACGCCAGGAAGGCCGTCTCATTTCCAGCCCCAGCGAGATGCGTTTCTCTGAGTCCTCAGCACGAGCCTGGGAGCCGGGCCTGGCTTCTCAGGGCGCCTTCCTGGCTGGGTTGAGGCGGGCGATTTAGCAGGAACAGGGCTGGACGCTATCCACAGAGCGGGAAGAGGGACATGGCTACGGGAGAAGCGTCAGAGGGACGTTTCTGTTCGTTTTAGTAATTCAGAAAACGGCCCTCCGGTGCTCACCATGGGCCGGCCTGTCAGGAGTTACAAACACACCCTCTCCGGCCAGCGAGGGTATGTGAGGGTTAGCAGGCGGCCTAACCATGGCAGGCTGGGCTCTCTGATAGCCTGCAGACTCCTCCCAAGTTCACTGGGGAATGGATTCAGGGAGGAGGAAAGGGCCCCAGAGAGTCGCAAATACTGTCCAAAATCGCCCTCGATGGCTTCCTCCTCTAGGAATGGACTCTTTTCCTCGTATAGTCCCCGTTTTCCTCACTTCTGTCCCTTGACTACCCCTCGCCCCCAGCAGACAAAGGCCCATCAAGTCTAGCCCAAGGGAGGGCCCCTCCAGCCCACCATCCGAAGCCTGGACACCTGGCTAGCCTTCTGGTGCTTGCAAATGCACCCTGGCAACCTTGAGAAAGAGATCACAGAAGGAAAAAAATTAAACTTGAGAAAGTTAGCCTCCACTCAACAAAGAAAGCCAGACATTCCCACTGAATCTTCCAAGAACCATGGCTCAGGGGGACTTTCGTTTTTCCCTTTCTACACATCGCAGTCCCTAACTGGGTTCTGAGGGCCTGTGATACCCCAGGTTCTCGAGCTCTGCCAGCCTAAGGCAACGGGACACTGGTCAGCCCTGAAAATAAGCATTTCATATAAAAGATCCATTGTCTCTGAGTGGGGGCAGTGATTGCCTTTCCTGAGTCCTCCGTCACATAGCATCAGGATGCCAGGGTCCTTTCTTGTTCCGACAACATGTTTTGAGCGGTCTTCCTGACCATCAGTGAAGGGACGAAATTCTCCTCAACGAAGCGTCCTGGTAAACGTAAGCTTCTATTTGGCCAAAGAGCAATCAGCCCATCAATGTCGAGGCCCCGTGACCAGATCACCAGCCACATTGCCAGCAAGATGCTGGCAGCTGGTGTGGCCACTCCGGACTCCCAAGTTGCCACATCCTGCCCTCATTCTTCCCCCAGACCCTGAACAGGTGAGAGGCACAGGTCAAACCCTGGGGTCAGCACCCAAGTGAGCTCCTCAAGTGCCATTCCGGGGCGGGGGGAGTTCCACTCCTTCGTCTGTGAGCACATCCCGGGACCTCGAGAGGCCTTGCCCCCCACCTAGCACCCCCAGTGCCTCCTAGCCAGGTCCTGGGGCAAGGAAAGCCCTAGTTTTGCAAGCCCCTGGCAGTCTACTGCAAAAGAAACGTCCAAGTACACCTGTACCGCCACCTGCGGGGCAGGGGGCAGTGAACTTGTAGGTGCCCTTTCTAGAGAACCCAAAACCACCCTCCCCTTGTCTTAGAAACTCAAAAATATCATCATCACTGGCAATAAAAATGGCAATTACCATTTACAACAATAACAATGACGGCAGCGGCAGCCGTTTATGGCTCCCTGCCATGTGCCAGGAACCGTGCTCTGTGCGATTCACGCTGTCTGGACACCCCGAACGCCCCTCCGAGGCTGGATTTATTATTCCTGCTCTGTGACTTGGGGTACAGGCCCAGGGAGGCCCGAGGATGTGCCCTGTCCAGGCTCATTGAGCCAGGGCCAGGGACAGGACTGGAGCTGCCCGATGTGAGCCAGGACACCCCCTTTTCAATGGGGTTCCCGTAAGAGTATTCTCCCTTCTCCCCAGATGTGCAAGTACACCCTGTAGGCCCCACAAATACCAAGTATGATGCTTTTAAGGTGTCTTCCTGGCTGGCCTGCAAGGGCCTCCGTCTCTTCCCAAATTCAACCCCTCGCTAGGCACACCCACTGGTTTCCCCCGGACAGCAGGGAGCACTTGCTCAGGCAGAGCGCCCGTCAGGGTAGGCAAAGCCCTCTGGACCCTCCCTCAGCCCCAGGGACTGCCTTCCGGTCAGGCCTCATCCACACCAGGGCAGGAGAGGCCCCGGCACCCTTCTGAGGACGGGAGCAAGCGAGGCCGGGTCACAGACGGCCCCACCAGGGGCACGGCACGCAGAGCCAAAAGCCATCCTGCTGCAAGGCTCCCGGCTGTTCCCGCTGAGCAAAGCACAACGCGGTCTGCACCTGCTCAGGTGGCGTGTGCAAAGTGGCCACAGCGCACAGCCCTCACCACACACGGCCTGTGCCCAGCAGCCGGCCGCACCACACCCCAGAGACCCCTCGCCCAGGATCTGGGGCCTCCGGTGGCCAAAGGCCAGACGTGACGCAGCCCCGAGTGCAGGCGACAAAACACCGCAGGGCTGGCCCCAGTTTAAAACAAAAACGGAAATACCAGGGCCATCCTCCCACTCGCCCCCCACGGTCCACGAGGCCCTGTCCGCCCCCCCCAACCCCCGCTTAGCGCGTTCTCCCTATTAAATCCGGAAGTGATAAAAACCAGACAGGCGCCAGTCCGTTTTCGGAACCTTGACTTTGGTAGACATGTCCTCAAGAATAAAATGTGCCTGGATGGGCTGTCCCAACACGGCAAGAAGCCCCTGGTGGGGGCCCAAGTCTCACTGGAACTGGGCTAGCTCTGAGTTACAAGGACAAAGGCAAGACAGAGCAGAGTTGGTGCCCAGATAGTGCCTCTCTCGGGGGGGGTGGGGGACGCCGTTTACTACAGACTCTCAAGTCTCAAGCCCATCACAGTCCATGCGTCGGGGGCACACTTTGGCCGCAGAGATGGGCCTTGGCATCTGTGACAAACAGCAAGCCCCCACTAAGTGGCCCTGGGGTGCCTCCTCGGATGCTCTCAGCCCTTCCTTGTTCCCACAGGCCCACGGAGGAGCAGCAGACGCCCCTTCTTCGGGTGTCCGGTTTAATCCTGGGGTATTCCCAGTAGCCTCGGCAGGAGGCCACAGCTTCCCGCCCGTCGGGAGCTACGTTACAGGTCCTCCGTGGGCCCGGGGAAAGCGTCTCCTACGTCCCGCAGGCGAGGCCCGGATGGAACTCAAGCTCCTTCTCATTACAAACCCGGTCACTGCCGACTCTGAGCAGCAGCTCCATTTCTGCGATCGCTCCTGACGGTGCCACCCAGGCTTCCCGGCTCCTAACTGCCTCTCATAGAGTCATAAATAAAAATGCAAAACGGAGGAGGTGGGGAGGTGGTTTGGGAGAGGAAGATGACGGCCTAGCTGAAAAGACGGCCACCAGGTCCGTTCCAAGGCACTGAGGCAAACTTCCAGCCTCTGCGTCTGGGCTGCCAGATCTTACTGCGAGGGGCTCCTCTTTCCTCTGGGTTCGTCCCTGGGCTCGAGGGAACCAGGCAGCCCGGGGAGAGATCGTCGTGAGGCAGGCCTGGGCCGCTCAGGCCTCCATCCGTGTTCCCGGAAACATGGCCTTCAGGAACCAGCTTGCAACTCTGGGATGTTATGGAAACAGGCCCCCACTGCCCATTATTTTGTGGTCAAAGAACCCGGCGAGGTTCTCGAAACCACATCAATACGACGGGCAGAGCAGAAAGGAAGTCACACCTGTGATACAACAGTATTAAAGAGCGGGCTTAACCCACCCCCGACCAGTTTCACTTTAACGGGACAGGGACGAGAAGATACAAGCATGCGTGTGAAAATCCTAAACAGCCAGAACCAATGAACAAAAATAAAACGAAGACCGTGCTGGCCTGCAGAGGCTGCCTTGGCTGCTGAAACCCAACTTTGAAGAAATTAATTTCAGCGTTACCTTAAAACCCTGTAATTACGGCAAAGGCGCATTCCTTCACCCATGTCTCGCTCCCCACAAACTCCCCAGGGCCGCCGGCTGGGCCTGTGTGTGAGCCACCTATAAAGGGGGATTTATTACGAAAAGTTATGAGTTGTTTTTCGTTTTATGCCACCATAAACAAGAGCCTCCACAGAAGGCCTTTCACTTGCCCGGCCCGGCGGCTGCCAGCACTCGACTGAGGGCCCCCTAAATCGGCTCTCCACAAATGCTTGACCGGCAGAAAAGATAAAATAAATAAATGAGAATCACTGGTTTCCCTGGTTTAGGAAGGGAATGAAAGATGTCAATATACAAAACAAAAACAAAACAAAAACAAAAACAAAAAAACCCAGGGATCACAAGGTCCAAAATAATCCTTCCAATCCCATCAAACCTAAAAGCAGACGTTTTCCCCTTTCCTTCTCTTCTGTTTAAGATGCCTGCTAACGCTATTTACGTGTGCAACCAAATTCTCCCTGGCAAAAGGTCTGCACACCTGAGATCAGAAGCTGTATTTCACGAATCCCAAGTTCCTGCATTTTAATGACGGCCCGGCCGTGGAGTTCTTGCCAAGCTGGCCAGGCTTCAGGTTCAAGAGCAGCCTCCTTCGTCTGTGGAAGGCCTGCCCTACAGGCTCTTCTTAGAAATCCCGTCATTAATATTTAAATACTCCCTAAGTAGCGAAAGTGAGAAAGGCACTTACCATCCTCGGGAGTCGCCCGGAACCCGCTGGTGACCCCGGGACTCGCAGGTCGACCGCCCTGCCTTTGCCGGAGGAATGCGCCCGGACGCGGCCAGCGCTGCGCGGTGATGCCCACACCGCACAGGCCCAGGGCGAGCCACGGGTGGGAGTCCTGGGTCCCGACCGCCTCCCGCCTTCGCGCGTGTGAACCGCAGCGAGCAGCGCGGTGCCGTCTCCCGCAACTCTTCGCAGGGCGCGACGGCTCCGGGACGGAGACAGCGGGCGAGGCGCGCGGCCAGGCCCCCCTCTCCCGGCCCCGCAGCGCGCCGCTCCTCCTCTGCGGACTCCTGCTTGCCCGCGTGGAACCGCCGGACCTCTCGGAGGAGCCGAACCCGCTCTCCGCGTCCGAGACTAGCGCCTCCAGGGACCTTTGTCCCGGACGAAAACGAAAGCGCGCGGCGCGAGGGGCGCCCACGCCCTGCCGCGGAGGTCCCGGCCGGCGCGCCCCGAGACTTTCTCCAAGTTCACGTGCTTCCCCGGCGGGCGGGCGGCGCGGGCCCGAACTTGCAGGGCCGGGCCGTCGGGCGCGCTGCGGGGTGCGGGCGGGCTCGGGGCGGCGCGGCGGCGCGGGCCGGGCACAATGGGCGCCGCCGGGCGGGCGGGCGCGGGGACAGCGCGGGCCCGGCTGCCGCGCGGCCGCTCGTCTGGCGCGGCCCGGGCGCCGAATGCGGCGGCGGCTTGGCACAGACGCGCCGCGCGCCCGGTGCATGCTAATGGCCGGCGGCCGCGCCATGAATTATTCAGCAGCGGCGCGGAGAGGGCGAGCGCGGCGCGGAGGGCGGCCCGGTCCGCGCGTCCCCCGCCGCTGCGAAGCCGCCGCGGCGACTTCCCAAACTTTCCCCGGTCGGCACCGAGGATGCGGCCCCCGCGGCGCCTCCGTCCCCGCCCGAGCGCGCCGGCCGCGCTTCCCACGTTGCCGCCTATTTTATGTCTTTTGTCTCGGAGTTGGCACCTGTCCCAGAGAGCGCGTTTCCCTGCCCACCCCTTCGCCGCCGGATCGGGGCGGGGGAGGGGGTACGGGGGACCCGGAGAGGAGGGGACGGGGAGGTGGGGGGAAAGCAAGGCGCCTACGGGCCCCGTAGCCAGGAGAGACCTCCCGGGGACAGCGGCCGTGCCCGCGCGTCCGGGCACCTCTGTTCCGCGGGGAGGTCAAGTCTTCGGCTGTGCCCGGAATACCAACGAGGCCTCCGGGCGCCCCCCTCCACCCCCCTCCCGCCGCGGCCGTGCCCGCTGCGGGCGAGGACGGACCGCGGCCCCTCCCCGACTCCCCCCTCCGCCGCGCACCCTCCTCCCTGGGCCCGCGCGCGCGGGCGGGGCGGGCGGCGCGAGCAGCGGATTCGCCGCCCGAGCCCCGCTCCTCGGCCCGCAGGCCCGCGTGCGCGCCCCCGCGGGCACGCCGCCCCGGGCGCTCCCCGCCGCGCGCCCCCGGCCCGCGGCCCCGCCCGCCTGCCGGCGCGGCCAGGGGGGCACCGCGCCGCGAGGACCCATCGTCCTGCGGCTTCGCGCCCTGGGGCCGCGCGGCTGCCGGGGCGGGCAGGCGCGAGCCCTGGCCCCGGCTCGCCCCGCCGCCCTGGCACCGAGGCGGCTGCCGGAGCGCGCTCGGCGGCTGCGTTCCGAGGCTCCGGCTGCCATGATTGCGGGCAGCGGGGCGCGCGCGCAGGCTCGGGCCCGGCTCGGGGACCCCGGGCGGACCGACGGTCTCTGGCCTGCGCGCAGACCCGTGCGCGCCGCGGACAGCGGCCGGGGTCGCCGGGCTCGTCACGGCGGGGGCCAGCGTGTGCCACGGAGCTCTAGACGAGGTCCTGGGACAGGGCTCGGGATCCACGGCGGCGGGCTTCCCCGGTGCCCAGGGCGACCCCGCGGTGGCTTTCCGGACAGCGCTGGCCCGGCGGAGGGAGGGGCGCGGTGCCAGGTGTCGGGGGTGGGGGCGGGGTGCACGGGATCTGATGAAGTGGAGAGGGGCAGCGCACTGAGCCCAGAGATGCAGGGGGTGCGCAAGGTGCCTGGCGGAAGGGGGTGCCCTCGCGGTGCCGGGAAGGCGTGGGATGGCCAGGGCACCGTGCCCAGAGCCGCTGCCCAGCTCCGAGCTCGCTGTCTTCCTTCCCCGCAGAAACAACTTCCTGCTCCCCCGGCCCGGAGCGTAGGAGCTGCGGGGAGAAGCTGTAGGCCGCAGCCCCGCTCTCTCAGCTCAGACCCTCTCCGAGGACTACAGTGCAACACCCCGGGGCGGGGCGGTTCCCTGCCGCACCCCCTCCCGGGGGTCGCGACAGGCTGGGCTCCAAGGCCCCGACACTGGTTACAATGCCAAGAAGGCCGCAGCAGCTCGAACTGCCGGCTCCGCGGGGGCGCCTGAGTGGATTCCCCGCAGAGAGGCTGGCCCGGGCCTCTGGCGCTCCGGGACGACACTGGGTCACTATGCTCGGACCCCCTCTCCCTGTCCGGGCATGCCCTCTCTCAGAGCCAGATGGACCTGGCTGTCCCCGGACGCCCGCGACGGGGGCCCAAGAGGAACAAGGCCTCCTGGGCCCCATCCCAATGTCTCTCTGTGCCTGTCTCCCCCAGCACCCCCCCCCCCAGCCGGCCTTGGCATTCTAACCAGTGTCCCTTGACGTCACATCTCGCCATTTCTGTCAACCAATTGAAACTTGCTCGTTGTCATAAAAATATATATACTTTTTATGCCATTGGTACATTCAAAAGTTCCTCGTGTGCCCTGCTTCCCAGGAAACTACATTCCACATTGGATTGGACTGCTCAGGATGAGGGAACTGTCCGTATGAGGCAGGGCTGGGCCGGGGCCTGGGGTGCCCACCCACCCACCCACGGGAGACGCTCTCTAGGACCCTATGACCTTGGCCTTGAACTGTGGCTGGACACCCACCTATGACACACATGGTTTCATGGGAGGGGGGATCCTCAGGATACACTCAGGAATCTTCCAAAATTCCTTTCCTGGGGGTTAGACTCTTAACCGTGGCCTCTTTTTAAGGGCACCTTTTCTTATTTCTCTGAAAAAACTTGAGTTTTAGAAAATGGAGTAGAAATGTTTCCCGGTTACTCTCTTCATTGAAATGCTGACCAACTTTCACTTTTCACAGCAGAGCAGAGCCAGCCCAAGCCGGATGGGGTGGGTTTCCCTCTTTCTCTGAGGAAGGTCCGGGGTGGCCCTCCCAGCCTCAAGGACCTCGGCGACCCTAGCCGGGTGCCCAGGAATTCTGTGCTCCTCCTTCCCCAGTAAAGGACACCCTCGTAGCAACTCGGGGCTCGGGAATGCCATGTCTGTGTTCTAGCAAAACGGCAGAACGTCTGTTGGCTAGCACTGTCCTTTATAATTTTCTTCCCTATTACCGTTCTCAGCCCTGGCTAGGCCTGTGGGGTAAGAGAGCACATCCTACGAACTGAGTTATGTGCAGGGCAGTCCCAAAGAGCCACCCACAGCCCCCGTCATCTCCCCCTTGCTGCGGCCGCATGAAGAACCAAAGCACCGCCTGACATGATACACCCCCTGTCCCCCCATCTCTACTGCATGGTTCACCGGCTTTAAAAAACCCATCAGACGTTCTGTGGTGTAGCAACTTTGGGGAGCCCAGAGCAATACTTTCAGAGACTAGCTGAATGCAGAGATCTCAACACTAAGTCTCGGGCCCTTTTAACACAAATCTTGTTTTTCCAAAATCTCGAGCAAACTCGGTAACTACCGAATGGGGATTTTGAAAATAAATATATGGTTACTATTTTCACATAAAACCGTTCCCCAAGGGCAACCTCTAGAGATGTGCATACCTCTGTGATAACGTCCTCACTTACACACACACACACACACACACTGCAATCCAACAACGGCACTATAATCTATTGATAATCACTTTCCTAAACACTATAAATATTATAACTAATGTGATACATGTTTTGTGATTAAGTTGGTGGATTAAAACACTGAATTTAAAAAGCCGCAAAGAAAAAGAGATTACCTTACATTATGCCACTTACAAGTTTTGTTCCTTTGGCACAAATACAAATTTGACAACGGTATCATTACGGAAGGCGATGACTGAATGCCAGCATATTAACTTGGTAATTTTCACCTGAAATCATTGTGTAATCATACCGACTTGCTAACCTTTTTATTAGCTGATTTTTTTTCCTGCTCTCACACACATGAATAAGTTAATTCGATGCCATTTTCCCCCTCCCCAATTTTTATTTGGTAAAACAAGAAATTGGGTGAGTCAGAACTATATCTGAGAACGCATACTTTTTTTTTCAATCCCCTCTATACTTGGCATGGATTTACATCTAATTTGGTTACACATTCAAAAATCAAAATCTGCTTTATTCAAGGAAAATAATAGCTTTCAGGTAATTCCATTGGGTATTATCCAGGTTGGTTTTTTAAGGTCTTTTCCCAACTTGTTATCCTGTGACATTATTCAGAGTAAATAATATTAGCAAGTGTGCTCAAATTATCACAAAAGAAACCTGGGACATTTACTTTTTTGGTGAGTGTTATTACAACGGGCAGGCTTCCTAGAGGAAGAACATGGTCGGGGTCCGTGGACCACATCGTGCCTCAGGTCAGATGTTTAGAAAAACAAGTCATAGGAAGGCTCTCAATATACCAGGATGTTTATAGTATCGGCCTTATACAGTTATTTTTTCCTGATTTCTCCCAAGATCTGCCTAATGGGAATGCAGCCGGCGACTTCCTGCTCTGCCTCTAAGCCCGTGTCTCCGGCTCAGCCTCCGGCCTCCGACCAGCCCCGAAGGCCGCGGGCACTCGAGTTCACTGTCCGTTTCTCTACGCAGTGACTCCTAACAGTTAAAAAATGTCGGTATCCAAGACATTCCAAGGACTTAGTAAACAGATGCATTTAATCTAATTAAAAGCTAACAGGATGCGTGTGTGAAAACTTACATTTTCACTTTGGTTTTGATCATTCAACTTTGCACGCTCGAGAATAATGAGTGTGCAATAAGCTTGAGATTGTGAGAGCGTGGCGGCTCCTGGCTTAGATGCCACTTCTTCAGGCGTCCCAGACAATGTGCCCTTTGGAGGAGTTGCTAAGAAGCTTTGGGTGCTGTGTATAAAGGCAAACCGGCTTATGATTTTTTCTTTTCTTTCTTTCTTTCTTTCTTTTTTTTTTTGGCAGTTTTGTTTTGTTTCGTTTGTTTGCTCTTGTCTCAAAGTAGTTTGCCGGTTTGGGATTCCATTTCGATCTGCTATTTTTTAATAGCGTGTACCCCTACTTGTGAGCGCAAAGCCACTGGCATCAATTTGCCTTGGGTAAGCACTCATTTCTTTCCTACGGAGATAGCTGAGGACGAGGAGGGGGGAGAGAAGTCAGCTAGCATAGGTGCAGGTAAAACAAGTGAAAGATAATTGAGTTAGGCTCTCGGGCCGGGTAAGGAATGTGAGCAAGCATCCACAGAAAGGACTCCTTCCTTCCAAACATAATGAAGCATTTTCAGAATCTTTTGCTTTAGGTCACCCTACTTCACGTCAAACTTGGCATTAGCGCACTAGCAACCGACATGAAACTCTGGCCATAGGAGAAGCTTGAGAAACAAAGCACGGGGCAAAACTCCATATTAGCAGCCCCCTCCCCCCCCAAAAAAAAAACCCCTAGCATGGTTGTAGACCATTTCTGTATCTTCTTTCCTTTCAAAACAGAAATATATATATTTATATATGTATATATAAAACAGGCTTAGTACGTCTGCCCTGACATTGATCAGTAGCACACCCCATACTCTCTCCTGACTGATGGGGTAGGAACTCCACACCCATGTATTAGAGTCTGTTTAGAAACCTGTAAGCAGCTGTTTTGTAATATTTAACACACTTTAGAAGTCCACACATTCCTTACATGATGTGTTACCTGTATATGTATATTTAAAAAAAAGAAAAAGCCTTACAACCCTGAAAGCATTCTGAAGGATTTTTTTTCAAATACAAGGAAAGCATAAAACAATCAGAAGTCCGCAATAAATACATGGTCGCACACACACACACAGTGAATATACTGTATATAATGCATACACGCTAGTATCAAAAATTCCCCCTTACAAAGAGGGGGAGCCTGAGTGGCTCAGCCAGTTCAGGGTCTGACTCTTGGTTTAGGCTCAGGTCATGATCTCAATGGTTTGTGAGATGGAGACCTCCCATCTGCCTTCAGCGCAGAGCCTGCTTGGGGTTCTCTCTCTCTCCCTCTCTCTGCCCCTCCACTGCTCTCTCTCTCTCTCTTACTCTCTCTCAAAATAAATAAATAAACATTTCAAAATTTTCTCCTTACAGGTGAAAAATTACAATTCATCTTTTTCATTCTGAAGTAGTAATAACACAAGTCAGGAAAAATGAATCAAGGATGATAGCCCAGTGCTCCTGGTTACACACGTATACACCAAGTGCCAGAGCTAGGTTCTCAGCATTATATAAGGGATAAGAAAAAGCACAGAACAAACAAATTTTTTAAAAATCAAAATTAACTCTTAAAGAGAAGTGGATTCTGAATTTAGTCGCTCAATTCTGCAATTCTTAAAATGGAGTCATTGTCAATTGGGAAATTAACATTTTCCTGAAGAAGTTAGTGCCACGGATAGCAAATTCGTATTAGCAATTAAAGATAGATTGGCATTTGTAATTTAACAGTTGCCAGTAGGCAAAGTTACCTATTTCCACAAAAATGAGAAGACATAGAAAATCTGAAAAGAACTTCTCTCCTCATATCCAAAGAATGCCTTCGTTTCACAGTTGAAAACCTTGATTTATTTGAAATATTTTTTGCATCCTACCTATCCTTTATCCAGAACCTAAAAACAGTCGTTGACTATATATTCTTTATGAATCACATATAATCAGACTTGAGCTATTAAAAATTTAAAGCAATATTAAACTGAAAACTATCGAATTTTTTTTTTAATTTTCTAAAATAATGCTGAAAGTCAGTTGAACTTTTTCTCCCCTGCCGCCAGCTGAAATGAGAACTTTAGGACCATTTCTTAGCCATATAGTTCCTCAGTGAGCTAGGTAAATTATAAACCCTTAGAATAAAGAAAAGGAAAAGAAAGGAAATGAATCCTGATTTAGAACGCAAAAGGTTCATGGTTAAATTGCAAAGGACAGCAATTTAACTTGATGTTTTTTAAAATCAAGAGTTCACAGGTCCGTTCTTCAAAATATTTTCAACAGAACCCAGGCTACTTGCAAAGTGATCACATGCAAAATGAGGGGGTTTTGAGGTGACAATTTCAAGTTGTTGGAAATTTGACCACAGTAGTCTTGTCGAAATACTCCCATTTTATTTTCTTAAAATCTAATACGATTTCACACAACACGGTGAGTAATTTGCTTTATCTATAAGAACAGCCTCTTTTTTATTTATTTATTATTATTTTTTTTTACTGTGTTTAAATACTGTAGCTTTTAGATCTGGTTAACACAAAGACAAACTTAAGGCTGGATTTTTCATAGATGCCCTTTCTATGAAAAGAAAAGAAATGTTTTAGCTAAATTTATGACTGCAGGACAAAATAATATTTAACAGCTGCAAAGAAAAATGCTAAGAAAGAAAGAAAGAAAGAAAGAAAGAATGCTTTGTCCTGTTTTGTTTCTGGCTATTTACAGGGCAACGTTTGGTGGAACTCCTAATATTAAAAGAACATGAATTTCATTTTTCTTAAGCAAAAGAAAGTGGTAATGTAGACGATCAGGTAAGGATGGCGTTAATCTTGAAATTAAGAGTCCATGTAATTTTCACACGAGGAACCTATATTTTGAGAATTTTTTTTCAAAATAAGGAGAGGGGTGCACACTGGCTTGGTTCCCCCACGATGTTCCCAGACAGCAATTTTTAACCACCATCAAGGGTCTTCCCATTAGCCAGTTTTCTGACTCTGCATTCTAAATCCTCTGCTGGATCCTGCTTCCAAAGAGGTCCCTTCCGTGTCTTCTTGCCCAGGAGGTGGGACTGCTACCTCCTTCCCGCACACCGACAACCCCGAAACTGGCAGTGTCTCACACGTACGCTGCCGGAAACTTCTAGGAGGGCTCCAAGGCTCACTGGGAAACTTCTCTCACTGGGGGGTTGGGGTGGGGGGGGGGACTTCGCCACGCACACCTGGATCTACGGATTCGGAAAAACTAACCAGCTGCGGCCAAAAACCCAAACACTCGACCGCCCGAACACAGTCTGCAAGAAACACAGAGCCCTTTGACGCCACGCAAACACTTGTAAATAAAATAGCTCCGAGGCAGACAGGCTGAATGAGCCTCTAAGACAGCCAGTTGGTGCCTCAAAATTTAAAATTAGAACATTAAATGTTAACAGCACGAGGATATCCTGGGATACGTGTGTGTGCGCATGTGCACGCACTTGCCTGCGTGTGCGTGTGTGTGTGTGTGTGTGTGTGTGTGTGTGTGTAGGAAGAAGAGTTCTGCACCTTATGGCTTGGAGCTGATTTGAGGTCTTGCTGGGGTGCCCCTAAACCAGGCAAAGGGCAAGCAGGCCCTACCCGGATTCTCTTGGGGTCACTTCACCCTTTCATGACACACGTGCACACCCCCAAAGCCAGCGAAAGAGACAATAAGGGCCGATCTCACATGCAGACAGTCTTTCCTTGGAATAAAAAAAAATCGTGATTTGTTGATGGCAAACCACGCTGACCTCATTCTTTGTCATCAGGACAAATGTGGCAAGACCAACATCTGGGACCAGCGTCGATGTGTGCTCTCTGCACCTGCAACTCTGGGCGCTGCGTGAGCTGGGTTCTTCAGGGAGGAGGTCCCGTTTTGTGGGGTGGGCCAGGGTCTGGGCCCTGCAGACCCTTCCCCTAGCCAGGCAAGGCGTGGCTGCCGACAGAGTCTGGGCTCGGACTCCGGGATGAACATCCAGGGTTCTCAGGAAGAGGGTCTCTGGAATTGTCACATCCAGTCCCCAAACTGGGGGCCGTCTTGGTGTCACGTCCAGAGTCCTCGAGGGGACAAGGATATTCTTTATCTTTTTTTAAAAATAGTTTATTTATTTTTGAGACAGAGAGAGACAGAGCATGAGTGAGGGAGGGGCAGAGAGAGAGGGAGACCCAGAATCTGAAACAGGCTCCAGGCTCTGACGCGGGGCTCGAACCCACGAACTGTGAGATCTGACCTAAGCCGAAGTCGGACGCCCAACCAACTGAGCCCCCCAGGTGCCCCAAGGATGTTCTTTATCTTGCCCAGTCTCTCACCATGCTTGGCCCTGCATCCTTCTTACAGCTAAAGCAGCAGGTTTCAATACAGTTCAAGTCAATAAAAACCCCCAGAGCATTTAGTCGGTGCCAGGTACCACGGAGTCCCTTGGGAGCTTCAATCATAAAACAGCAGCCTTATAGGACAGGGCTTTCCTAAGGTAATAGGGACAGCATCTCAAGTCTGCACAGCAAGCGCTTCATAATTTACACTGTTCTCCCCCGCCTCAGGCTCATGGGATCCTCACGACCCAAGAGGAAGACAGAATAAGAATGATCACACCTCCCTAAAGGCCAGGGAATTGAGGCTCAAGTGGACGCAACACTCACTTACCCAGTACTGCATAGACCTGGGACCTTCAGGCACACATGCCACTTTGTTATTTAGGCTTTCTTTCTCTCTCTCTCTTTTTTTTAAACATCACCACCCACCTCTTCCTACTCATATACACATAGGCTTATTTTGTAGGTAAGAACCGTTCCCAGGAAAAACAGAGCCCCATTGAAATCTGGGTCCCAGAACTGCCTTGAGCAGGCTAGCTTTGGCGATCTCCCACCCCTACAGCCAAATTTGGTTGTCTAAGGCGCCGACCCCTCCCAGCCAGGTGCATCCTGATCTCCCCCTCCAATCTGGGCCAGGATGAGTCTACCTCCGGTGTAAAATCGCAGACACAAGCCCGCGGCTGTGGCTGCCAGAGGCCTCGTAACAAAGCAGCCTCGCCTGAGCGCAGGGGTTGCAACGCCCTCTGCCCACCACCCTTTCTGCTGGGGCGTGCGCAGCACCCCGAGAGCAGGGGTGTCCCAGCCAAGCAGCCAGGGTGGCTCTGGGCCCCACCTGTGCCTTCCCCCAGCTTCCGGCCCTCTGTGAACCTGGCAGGTTCGTGCAGATCGTTTCAGTATAAATGGCCAAGCAGGTGACCAGGATGGCCCGGGGAAATCTCCAAGCCTCACATCAGCAAGGACCGCTGATGCCCGGCTGCCTGCGGAGGGCCTCACTGGGGCAGTTCTCTCCCGGAGCGGAGGCCAGGGGCCTGGGCCTCGGTAGCAGCATTCTGCAGGGGCACGTGGATGCCAGCAGGATGCAGTTACCGCTCCCCGGCAAAGGGAAAGGATGGGTAGCTGCAGTGGCGATGGGGCACCGACAAAGAAGAAGGATGTAGAAAGACGGACCAGAGGGCTTCCCTTCCCAGCTGAGATCTGCACCACGCACAGAAATGTCCTAAAGCACCCGTGTCCCCACCAGCTCGCACGCATGCAGGTCCCCCGCCTGGGCTCCAGCCTCACGACGGCAAGCCACGGCCAGCAACTCCAGAGCACCGAACCTTCCCGAAGCCAAACTCCAAGTCGGAATATTCCAGCCCCCCCCCCAACTTGACAATCTCAGAAACAAACATAACATTTAAAAGGCCCTCCAGAACACAGCCAAGGAAATACAGCTTTGAAATGAACGAGGAGGGGGAGTGAGGGCCAGACCTGACCTGACTGAGAACTAGGAGGCGCCCTGGTCCTCTCCACCCGCGAAGCCTTCTAAGACTCCTTTCTCTTGTTTCCTTTCTGCACCTTAATTACAAGAGAAAGTGCTTTAAAAAAAAAAAAAAAAGACAAGAAAAACCTTAAAAAAAAAAAAACAACCTGGGACACTTGGGTGGCTCAGTCGGTTAAGCCTCTGACTTTGGCTCAGGTCATGATCTCATGGTTCGTGGGTTGGAGCCCCGTGTTAGGCTCCGTGCTGACAGCTCAGAGCCTGGAGCTGCTTCAGATTCTGTGTCTCCCTCTCTCTCTGACCCTCCCCTGCTCACGCTCTCTCTCTATCAGAAATAAATGAAAAACATTAAAAAATTTTTAGAAGAAAAAAAAACTTATGAGGAACTGAGTCTCAAAAGCTTTGGGGGATAAAAATTGGACCCCTGTCCAAAATGTGAGGGGAAAACAACGAACACAGAGGACACGCGACGGGTGAGGCCTGACCTTAGTGCCAACTGCCTTCCTAATACCTCTCTGACCCCAGTCTTACCTAGAAGTACCCCCAGACTCTGGCAAGGTTGTGAAGCCTGGTGGGCGACAGGGCCCACAAAGCGAGAAGGGTCTGAAGGTTCCTGCTTTTCCCCACATGGGACTCAGAATTCGGCTTCACAGTCTCCTTTTCTTTCCCAGCTGCCGGATTCCCAGCAGAAATAAAGAGAAAAAAAGAAAAACAGGGCACAGGAACCTCTCCTCTGGGCACCTCCGCCTGACCTAAAGGGCGCCGCATAGAGGTGTCTTCTGCTGGGGTCCCAGGCCCTTCCCCCAGGGGGACAGGCGCCCACGGCGCTGCGGTGGCTGCCTAGCGTCTGCCCGCGGACCAGGCGCATCGGCCGCCCCGGCCTAGTGCCCTGCAGCGGGTCGGGGCTGGCGAGGGGGCACGGCTGCGCCCGCACCTGCTCCGGCGGCGAGGAGGCCCGCGCGCGCCTCCTCCAGGCAGTCCCTGCGCTCCCGACGCAGGGGGCGGGCGGGGTCGACGCGGGCCCGGCGGGGTCGGTCCGCAGCGGGTCTGGGCCCCGGGGCCTGCACGCCCTCGGAGGGCGGGGAGTGAAGTCTGAGCCTGCGGCCCTGTCGACCCCGGCCGGGCACCGGGTCCTCGGCGGGGCACGGCGCGGGCCGGGAGGCGAACCGAGGTCTGGAGTCCGCGTGGGGTCCCGCGTCCGAGTCCGCGTCCTGAGCTCAGCCGGGGTCCGGGGGCGGGTCCGAGTTCCAGGGCGAGCCGGGGCCGCGAGTCCGAGGTCTGGGGTCCGGGTCCGGGTCCGAGCGGGGACCGGGATCCGACTCCGGGTCCAGGTCCTACCTGCCAGGCGCCGGGGTCTGGGGGCGGCGGCGGCGGCGGCGGCGGCGGCACGCGCCCCAATTAGCCGCGGCGGGCGGTGGCTGGGCCCCATTGAGGGCGAACAAAGGGCGCGACCCCGGGGTCAGGGAGTCGCGGGCCGGGCGGCCGCCGCTTTGTTCGGCCGCCCTGTTTACTTTGCCGAAGTAAAGCGCACAATATATTGACTAAAGCGGATTAGAGGGTCGCGCCCCGGAGGCCGGCGGGACCTCCCAGCCGGGCGCCTCCCCGGCCGGCCGGGCCTACCGCGTGCAGCCCCCTTCCCGCCGGCGCCCCGGGTCGCCGCCGGCCTGGCCTACGCCCCAGCCCGCGGAGACAGCCGGGGAAACTGAGGCCGCGCCAGCCGGGCCCTGACCGGGGGCGCAGGGGGGGCGCGGGGGCAGAGCAGGAAAGAGCGCGGGGGCGGAGGGCCGGCTCCAGGCCTCGAGGGGTCTCCCCTGGGGTCCCCGCCTGTCTTGGCTCACCTGCGCCACGTGGCAGGTGGCAGCCCAAGCAGCGTCCCTCGTCCCTCGGAGCGTGCGCCCCACCCGGCCTTTTGTTACCCGAACGACCCATCCCCTTGCGTTAGCCATCCCCGACCCCCGCGTTTTTAAGATTCTACCCTTCCCAACACTGCTGGTCCCGGAAATTCATTTTTTCAGGGAAGAAAAATGACCCTTGCTTGAAGGCTAAGGTATTTTAGATGGAAACGTGGCCAGATTTTCCCACATCACAAAATCCTGTAGCATTATGATTAAAAAAGAAAATTCCCGCCTCCCGTCTTAACGCAGAAGACGTTCCCATTCATCTCCAGCTGTGAGTCAGCAGGTGATTTAAGCAGGGGATATATTGAGGTATGGAAGTCCAGCTTGGGGTGGCAGGGAGAAAGTGTTTTCTTTCTCTTTCCAAAGAAGGCAAATGAGCATCAATAAAGCACTAAGATTTCCACCCAAAGTCCACAGTTGATCATCCGGTGTTATGAATCCAAGATCTCTCTGTTTCTCCAGACATGAACTTGAAGAATCTTTTAAACTGCCCTTAAGAACCAAGCAGTAGAAGCAGAGAACCGAAGCCCCAGATGGAGCCCAGGCTCTAACTATGGCTGGCTGGGGTCATCCAAGCAAGTATCCAAGAAGAACAAGAATGCCTTTTTTTCCTTCTTGATGCTACTGCTAAGGGCGCAGAAATATTTCTCCGTAAGTTCACACAAAATCTTAACTGAGATTTGTATGCCCTGGTTGTGCAAGTATACAGGTTTGGTTAGCTGACCCATGTAGTGTTTGATTAATAAGGTACCAAGGTATAAATCTTTTCTAAGAAACGAATAATATTTACTTACATATATATTTGTTGGTCTAAGGAATATTTGTGCTATGTGCCATCTATCTACAGCCACTGAAGGAAAATTTGCCATTTGTCTCTATTTCAACTCACGAGCCTCTAAAAACATTTTTTTTTTCTGCTTATAAAAATACCGTGTGTTTCGAGAAGGGACAGCAGAGTCCAAAGTCTGAGTAATTTAAAGATAGCTGTTGAAGATAGACATCATTTAAGTAGTCAGCATAAAACATCAATAATTCAAGTATAGAGAACGTGGAGAAAGGAAAATTCACCTCTGTGCCATTATCCAGAAATAATAGTCTATTGTGCTCCCTTCCCAACGGTAAACATGTGCATACAATTACATCATTTACATATATATTTACTGCTTGTGAAATGTTGTATCCATTGTCGTCCCCAAGTCCTCCCCATGTGGCTGCAAACTCTTTGTCAACAGCATTTTCACAGGGACACACTACGGCATTATTGTGTTACGTGATAATTTACCCCACCGTTCCCTGTTATTCCAAATTTCAGTTCTTGCTAATATTTCTCTACTGTAACTAACACTACCTCCGATGGCCTTGCCCGTGAAGTCTGTCCGCAATGTGGGTTATTAATAAATCTCTAATGGCCTGATCTTAGAGGGTTGGAACAACTACATTAATCTAAGGGCGGTTAGACTCCATCTAGCCCATCAGAAATGAACTTGGACATTCTAGAATGCTCTCTGGGTCACAGTTGCTCCAGAAAGCAACGTGGGAATCAGTCTGTCCCTCTCCAGAGGCCTGTCGGATCGGCCGGACCAGCCGAGGCACATCCCTGATTGCAACACGGTGTCTGGGAACTGTGCCCTCGCACCGGAGTCCTGGCCTATCGCTGTCGTCCCGAGCTCCTCGCCATGAAACCCCAGCCGCGTGGTGCATTTAAGTCCGGACCATAAAGCCGAACACCTTGGAAACATTATCTCCACATTTCTGGCGAAACTTTGCGTGTCTAAGAAGCGATCTGGCTCGAGCCGTTCTCTTTGCCAAAAATCCAGACCTCGGGCCCGCTTTCCACCCCTTCCCCCAAGCTGCAGGGTGCCCGCTTGTCCGGCCACCCCCCTGCCCTGTGCTGCGCGGAGGAGCAGGCTCGGGCCTTGCACGGGGCTGTGTCCCATGCCACTTGTCCCTTCCCTCCAGCGCCCTGAGTCAGCCGGGGCTCGGCCACGGGACGCAGTGGCAGTCTGTCTGGCCTGCCTGGCCTGCCTTGACATGGTGCGCCGAGCAGTGTGGGAAGGAGGCTGGGTGCCACGGAGCCCGAGGTCTTCTCCCAGAACACCAGGGCCTGGTGAGGCCTGCCTGGAGGAGGCGGCTTGCGGGCCAGGATGGAGCTGGCCCTGAAGAACAAGGATACAGAAGACAGGAGGCCCCAGCACAGAAGTCATGGGGTCAACCCGAAAACAGAAGATGCTAGAAGAATTGACACGGAGGTGGTGAAGAAAGCCTGGAAGGAAACGCTGGAAACGTGACCAGGGCTCTGGCGGAGGCCAGGATGAGCAAGTTTTCCCTTCCGTGTGTTTTTCCGGACGATCCAAGTGTTTTATGATAAGCGCAAATTGCTTTCATACTCAGAAAAGGATCATATTACTGATCGGACGCTATTTATTGTAAGTCAAGTAGATAGAATTCGTTGGAAGAATGAAGTGAATTACTGCTAAGTATTTATGAGCGTAACATAAACAGTAATAATCGTATTTTGCCAGAGAAGTTACTACGATGATAATGGTCACTCACGTGTCTCTAGCACTTCACCCTTTGGAAAAACACTCGCAAACAGAAAACGAAACCGGGCAGCAGCTTGGCTATGCAAATACTGGCTGCCGTTGTGATATTTCTGCAGCAGCCCTTGACACTGGGCGCGGATGGACACTGCGCTTCCCATTTTAAATCTGGGGAGCAGGCTTGGAGAAGTGGAGAGCCCCGGGACTCGAGCTGAGGCTTTGAGTCTCCCACTGTGTCCACCGGTGGCTTCCACACCTGGTCTGGGCACCTTTCCTGCGGGGGTGAGACACGTTCCCCCAGGGATCAACTGTGTTTCCCGTTAGTCTAATTTTTCCCCCCAATTCTGGAGGTGGTCCAGGGCAGAACTGCGATTAGGGAAGATTTGGTCGGGTTTGTTTTAAAAGAATGGCATTTGCAGAGAGTCTGTTTATCACTTGAGACGTATGGGCGCGCTGGGAAGTGGCCGGCTGAGGGGCGCCGGGGCGCAGCCAGGCAAGGACTGTCTTTTTCCCAAGGGCACGTTAGAGCCCCGTGCCACACATCCCCTGGGAAGGATCCTGACTCACACACATGTCTGTGAGACCTCTGGGGCTTGAGTCCACCCCACAAGAACTCATTAGGCTGTGTGGGAACACGCCTTTTTCCTTATCTTATTTTGTAAAAGTGAGCCATTTCCAGCCCCTCGATAACAATGGATGGGAACAAATGAACAAATCGAATGGATCTGATCTGAAGTGTCTTCCTTTCACAGTGAGTTAGAAGACGAACCCGAATGCCGTTTTCTACTCTAAAAGGCAATTGCTAAATTTGGATTTTTGAGAAAATTAAAAAAAAAAATCGAACTCCAGCTTGAAAATCCAATGGCTCTCAGAATGCAAGGAAGATATACCACTCTTTGTGCTAAAATCATCTTACGGGGTTTAAAATAAATCAGAACAAAATGATGTGAGCTGAACATATGTCTTCCATCACTTCGGAAGGCGGCCGTGGGATGGGCTATAGCACGTGGACCGGGTGCCGTCCGGACAGCGGACTGGGCCGGGAGTTGGCACGCGGTGATTTTTAACACGAAGGTGTCAACCTCTCATGGGCCAAACAAACCTAGGCTTTTTGCATTCCAAAGATGCCTTCGGTTTCGGATGAGGATTAAATTATTGCGAAAAGTAACTATACAATGTAATCAACAGGTATGATGAATACATTGGAGACACTTCTTTCCTCCAAGGAAAACGTCTGGCACTTGGAATTTTTTAAGCGGGGAGTCGACGGGCACACTTTCAAAAGACCCTTTCTTTTCCTTCTCACGCAGGGCACAGCAAACCATCCCTGCCTTCTAAAATGAAAACACATGCCACTTTAATCTAGCAAAGAGAATCCAGAGTGCAGAATTTCTGCACAGATAATTTTTAATTAAAGAGAGAGTGAGAGAGAGACTGCATTTTATACCTTTTGCAGTCACCTTCCCCACGTGTTAATAATTTAACTGTCAAATCACAGCAAACAGCTAATTCCATCTCAGAGTCACCAGGACTGCAAGCTAGCTGGGAGATTTTAGTCGTCGGTACTAAGGACCAAATGCTAACGGAAGTCCCGCTTTCCAAGTGTCCCCAGACGGGGCTGGGACATGACTAATTTATTTGATCTTATCCATCATCTCTGCACAGGATTCAAATATTTATATCAGTCTGTTCGCCTTAAAATGTGCAGGGCGGCACCCGCTTCGGGGCCACTCCTTAATTTTTCACAGTTTTGGCTTTTTGTTCCCAGCAATGCACAGCCCCTCGCACGGGCACCCGCTCAAACGCCGACGGGACGTTCCAGTGTGGAGCCCGCACACACGACTGCCCAGCTCACACAGAAGCTGCTCTAACTCACGCCAAAACTGCACAAAGGCAGCAGAACCACACCGTCGGACCTTTTCTGACGCCCAAGAGATGCCAGTGGGGTCGTGCAGGGCCTGAGCTCTGCTTCTAGAAGGAGTCTGCCTCTGGCCTGGTGGGGGAGGGGGGCTGATGGAAACCAGAGCTTAGTAAGGATGCCCCAGCCAGGCAGCCAGGTAGGCAACGGGGAGCAGGGGGTTAATCGGGGAGTAGGGAGGGGTGCAAACAAAAGGCAGAGAGGGGAAAACGGGCTGCAGGGCCCAGCCTGGCCGGGCGCAGACACAGGGAGCTCTGTGTGTGCCTGTCGGCTGCCCAGCACTGTGACTAACCGCCCCACTATTGTACCCTGAAGCCAGCCCTTTGTACCGTCCCCCCGGCGACTGGGAGCATGGCCGAAGAAACCTCCAGCCGTCCTGCCACACCCGAGCTGCCTCAGGTGTCCTGCACCACGTGCCACGTGTGACCACTGAACCTTTGAAAGTCAGGGAGTCTGTCCGAACTGAGATGTATGTGGATCATACACTCTGGATTTCAAAGATTTCAGATTAAAAAAAAAAAGGAAAAAACTCAGTAACAATTTCATATTCATTACACACTGAAATAGACCACTTTGACTACATAATAGGTAAAATAAGTTGTTTTATGAAAGGGAACGTCACCTGTCTACTTTCACTTTTTCAGAAAGGTGGCTGCTCGGCCACATGAGATTACAGATGTGGCCCCGTCTGCAGCTCGTGTTCTGTTTCTACTGCACGGAGCTAGGCTTCCAAGCTCGCGGTCTCTTAGGGAGACAATGGCCGGGAGGTACCCCGTAACTCCCTCACAACCCTGCACCCCACGCCCAGGAACTCCAGGTTCTCGTGGTCACGTCTGACCTCAGCCGTGCGTTCACCTGTCTCCAGAATTGAGTCTTTCACTCTCATGTGCCTGGGGACCTTTTGTAAAGCACATACGTGTGCATAGGAACACACACACACACACACACACACACACACACACACACACGAGGGCCCTGGCTCCTCTTCACAGCTGGCTGTGCCAACCCATCCCGGCTGGCCTGCGGAGAAGCCAGATTCATAGGGCACCCAGATGGCCCCCAAGGTCTCCCAGGAGACAGACACCTGACCCCTTTGTCCTGGGACTGGCTGAACCAGCCTAGGGCCCTGTCTTGACTTTCACAGACCCAAACCCTTCTGCTTTCACAGCCCCTTCCTCCATACACGTTAAAATTATATGTTATGCCTGTACTGGTATAAAGATGAATGTAATCCAGGCCGAATTCATCATTATATTATTCAGTATGATTATAGTCATTTTTTTTCCTCCTGACTTTAAGAGACATTAAAATTAAAACATATTCCGGGCCCTAGGTACTGTGCCCCCCTGGGCCACCCCACCAAGCTCCTGGGACCTCGCCCCACACAACATCCTCATGCGGTGAGGGGCCCGGGCCCCTCCTTCCGCACCTGGGGCTTGCCTGGCTATTCCTCCGGGGCCCAGGTCACCCTCACTGTAGAGCTCTACACCCTCTACTTCCTCACTGTAGAGCTCATTCCTTAAGTCCTGCCCTGAATGTATGGTGTGTGAAGCCCCCTCCAGACGCCAGAAAACTTACCAAATTATTTTTAAACACAAAATTTGGTCATGAGAAAGGAGGGGGGAACCCGGAAAGGCTGAAGGCCCCAAGTCTGCGAGAACGAAGACGAGAGCCACCAGCGCTGTGCCCAGCGAAGCTCGCTGTTCGACACCCAGAGAAAAGCCCACCAAGCCGTCAAGCGGGGGTGACGGTGGCACCAGAGGCGGCCTGCGGGGCCCACCACGTGCCCCATGACCTCCAGTCCTCACCCCCCCTGCACCCGGCCCAGCTCCCTGCCGGCTTTCCAGCATCTAGCAGGGAAAGGCATCTGGCGCCCTCACCACCCGCCCACCCTCCATGCCCCCGTGCCCGGCCTCGGCCCGGACACCCCGCTGAGGAAGGACGGGTGCAGGAGATGGTTAAAATTCTGCATCCTTTTTGCATCCGCCTCCAGAGGAAGCACTGCTTTTTTTTTTTCCCCCTCCCAAGCAGAAGAGAAAAAAAAAAAGCTGAGAGCAGCAAATTGCAGGCCTTGGGATGTTTTTCTCCTTGACAGCCCCGGGCCCCGCCTCGCCCGGCGGCCTTCCTCCGGCCACCACCACGGCCCTGCCCGGCCCTGTGCACGCGCAGCCTCCCCGCGGAGCCCCGGACCGGAGGGAGGGCAGGAGGCCGCCTGGCACTGCCCGGCTCCGTGCCCTCCCCTCCCCCACCGCCCGCGCTCCAGCTCCGGGCCCGCTCGGCACCCCCACCCCCCACCCCGCCGCCCCGTGCCCACCCGGCGCCCGCCCGGGGGTGAAGGGGTGGGGGTGGGGTGCCCTCACCTTCCGGGCCTCGGTCCGGCTCGCGCCCGGGGCGCCCGGCCACGTCTTCGGCGCCGCCTCCGCTCGCCCCACCCCGCTGCCCGCGCTCGGCGGCGAGCCTGGCACCGCGCCAGCCGCCTGGGAGCCCGGCCCGGGCAGGGGAACTTTCCGGCGAGGGTGTGTGCGGGGAGGGGTGCGGGCCGCGGCGGTGCCCGGGGAGGGAGCGGCCCAGATGCCCGGCGGCCGCCCCCGCCCCCCTGGCCCCTCTCCGGAGCCCCATAAAGGCACAGACAACACGGGCGGTTTAGTCAAAACAGTCATGTGCAGGAGCCGGCAAACAAACAAAAGCCCTTATTTATTTAGTTAGTTCACACACTCAGATAAGGAGACGCCTTTTGTGCGCATAATTTCACACACACCAGAGAGGAGGCGATGCCACGATGCTCCCCGCGGCCCAGGGCCGGACAGCCCGCCTGGCCGGGGAATAATTGCCTCGCCTGGGCCTGGACATTTCCATATTTAAATTGGGCAGCAGCATATGATTAATTAAGGAGGAAAAAGGCAAAAAAAAAAAAAAAAAAAAGGAAGAAAAGCAGTGGGGGTGGGGAGCCGGACATTCTGGGCAGCTCCGTGTGCCAAGGTGCCCGCGGCGGCCACTTAACTCCTCCCGTGCCAGGCCCAGGCCCCGGGCCCGGGGGGACTGGCTGCAGCGGGCGGCTTGGAGGGAAGGCGGGCCGTGCCCTCTGCACCCTCCCAGCCTTGGGGGGCACACCCCTGCCTGCCTTTGCGTATGGAGGGCCATGGCAGCCTCAGAGGCCGAGCCTGGGGCGTTCTCTTCCTCGCTTCCGTACTCAGAGCCACTTTGCCTTGGTCAGGGCAACGTGCTGGGCCGCTTGTGTGAGAGGCATCCCCAGGGGCCCTCAGCGGGGGGCTCGCCCCGGAAGAGCGGCTGCCATCCGGCCTGGGACGAGCCTGTTCTGCCCTCCACATCTTCACCCTACCAACACGCCGAGTGCCGTAAGGCGCTGCCGCCTGGTGAGGCTCCCAAACCCCTTCACGCGCACACAAGCCCCCTGCCAAGAAGGCCACCCTGTGGCCTTTCTGTCCCTGAGAGCAGCCGGCCTGTTCCGGAAAAGGGGCAGGAAGGCCTGCCACCCTTCTGGAAGGAATAAGGCTGCAGTCGAGGGAGAGCCAGGGAAGGCTGTATTCCTAGGGGCAGGGCGCAGGCCCCGCGGAGCCTGGATTTAGGGTCCGGCCATTCCCGAGGGTCAGCCCTGTCCCCTGCCAGCTGTGTGGCCTTAAGCAAGTTATCCAGCCTCTCTGGGTCTCAGTCTGCCCACCTGTGAAATAGGGATAATAGCTAGCGCCCACTATGCCTGCCCTGTGCGGCTTAGGTGAGGGAAAGCAGCACCCGGGTGGGCGGAGAACCTGCCGGAGCTCCCCGAACCTCTGTCCTGGCGGTGGGCCACGGGGGACGCGAAAAATAGGGCCTCTGGCAGGAACTAACTCAGCCCAGGAACAAACCCGGAACGGCCCAAATCCACTGTGCCGGTGGGTGAAGCTCGGGACCCAGACCCTGGCTTATCCAGCTGGGTCCAATCTAGGGCTACAAGCCCTTAAACATGGAGGCCCCCCCCCCCCCACCGCCCGGTGGCGACCAGAGAGGAAGAGGCGCAATCTCTCTCCTTGAAGATGGAGGAAGGGCCATAAGCCAAGGAATGTGGGCACAGCCAGCAGCTAGAAAAGGCCAAGGCAAGGATTCTCCCCCCCCCTGGGGGGGGCGCACCAGGAGGAACCGGGCCTGCGGGCACCTCGGTTTTAGCCCCGTGAGTCATTTCAGACTCCCAGCCCCCTCAGCTGCGCGATAACGAGCTGGTGTCGTCAGAGCCGCTGCATCCGTGACCTTTGTTATACCGCCTCCCTTCCTCCCCCGCATGTGCCGCCGCCTCTGAACGCGGCTGGGGTGCAGCCTGCGTCCGTATCCACGCCGCGCACGTTCGTCGGGTTGGTGAACCTCAGCCTCGCCCTCAGGAGTCGTCGCTCAGGTGGGCAGATGCCCCGCAGAGCCCTCCTCTCCTAAGGGCGCTCCAACCTCCCCGCTGGCTTCTGCTCTTCCTCCCCATGCCCCTCCTCCTCCTCCTCCTCCTTTTCCATGGCACCATTTTTGAGCGTTGCCAAGAGCGGGCACCGTGCTAAGCATTGTCTTATTCCGTCCCCAGGCTGGCAGGCTTATGACTGAGGCAGCCCAGACCCGAGATCCTCTCTGCGGTTCGGTGGGATAAGGGGCCATCTTTTGTTTCGTTATCATTAATCTGTCCTTCTCATAGTAGGTGAGGCAGGAAGTCCTTGGGCTGGTCCCCTGCTCCCTAGGCCCAGGGTCCCCATCTGTGAAGGGGGCTGATCAGAGCCCCCCACAGGGCGGTCAGCTGGTGCAGGAGGGTCCTCAATACTGCCCGTCAAGTCAGCTGCGGGGAGGACTGGGTTTTCTCTAAAAACAAAAACTAAGATCCCAGGCAGGGCTACCGCTTAGTATTGCCACCTCAAGGGTGCTGGGAGGGGGACGCCCAGACCCTGGCCAAGGAGGAATTTCAGAGACACCCCAAGAGACTTCTGGGACCTAACAGCCTTTGTTCTCTTAGGAAATCTGCAGAAACGTGCACACGGGCATTCCGCAAAGTGTTGTTTATACCAGAGAGAACTGGAAATCACCTGCGTCCAATAGCAAGCGTCCTTCAAAAGATGCAGCCAATGGAATATTAGTCATTAACAATCAACTCGGACAAGAATGGTTATCTTCTGACTTAGAAAGGGATTGTGATAACAGTGGAACAAGCAGCAGATAAAAGGATACATATTACAGGAAAAAGCTAATGCTGATTTTGTTTCAAATTATGGGAGTTGGAAGCTGCGGAAAGCACTCCCACTGGCTCTTTCCCAGTGTGGTTTTACAGGTGATTGAAAATATTTTTCTTCTTCGGTGAGGATTCAAAATGTTCTAAAATTAGCATGTAACCCCGGTGATGGCAGAAAAGGCACTGCAGGAAGGGAGCCACGCTCCTTCGAGGGAGCCGCCTGGGGTCCTCTCCGGCCTCTGCACGCGGTGGGAGCGCATTCAAGGAACACTGCCGGCCTCGTGAGTTGGTGACCTATCTGTCACGAGGGGAAGGCCCTGTGCTCAGAAGGGCCCACGCTTCGTTTAATGCCCTGTTGACACCATCCTGAAATTCTTAACCATTCTGAATAAGGGCCACACGGAGTAATTTCTCCCTGCGCTCTGCGGGTTGTACAGAGCGACCCGGCGGGGAACCGCGGCCTCCCCCTTGGCTCTCCAGCTTCCTCAGTGCAGCGACCAGCTATTTGTACTATGTTTAATTTCCCGCTCAGCGGCCCCTTGTCATCTTCTCCTTGCTACATAGGCTACTGGCAAAAGTGGGAAACAGCTCTGTTTTGTAACGACACGCATCCGTCCCTTCCAGGGCTTCTTCTGGAGACTAAAATTAGCACCTCACCCATTTTTTTAGGACCTTCTTTCCAGGTATGTGTCTTCCCTCTTCCATAAAACCAGGTGCCTTAGAGCCAGAGACACTGCTGGAGTCCTGTCCTACATCTGGTCCTCACAGTAAAGTTTCAGAGATACCTACGAGGCTTCTGCAGAAACACAACCAGAGAGGCAGTGAGCTGCTCGTCTCTGGAGGCATTCAACAGAGGCTGCATGGCTGCCTGCAGGAGCATGGTGCAGGAAACACCTTCTCTCAATGGGAAATTAGCCCAGAGAACCTCGGCCCAGTATTGTAATTGCACAGAGCATCCAGCAGCTTCTCAAGGGATGGTATGTGTCAGACTCACCTCTGGGTCTCCAGTGCTCAGCACAGGGCTGTAGACACAGGGAAGAGGCTCCGTGATGCTTTCATTTAGGACAAGAAAAGAAATAAAGGAAGTGGGGAGAGGCAAGGAATTGAGGGCTGACATGAAACGGAGAGAGAGAGTCCTGAGCGGCCCCAGGAGCAGGTAGTTTGTGAGAGGAGCCACCAACATGGTCTACCTGGACTACAGTCAGAAAGCAGCAGTGAACACATATTGAGTGCCTACTGTGTGCTAGTGCCATGCTAAGTGTGCACACGGGGATGGCCATCTTCCCTGCAATTCCACTGAGTCAGGGCTAGTATTGAGCCCATTGGGAGTGCAGAAGTTGAGGATGGGGGAGATGAGGTCCCTCTCCTAGGCCCCCCCCGGGGCAGCGTGAGGCAATGCTGGGGTTCAGGCATAGGCCCCGCCTCTCTGCACCCCGCCCCCCGTGCAGCAACAGGCCCAGGTTTTCATACCTGGAGGTGACTCTACTGCTTGGGACAGGAAGAAAGTTCAAGGTCAGGTTCGCTGGCTGCATCCTGTCTTGGCCCCCTTACACACTGAGCTCTGTGGGCTCAGCCTGAGGGCGCGGAGGCTCCTCAGAGGATTTGGGGGACAGGGCAGTTCTGTTACCTGATTCAAAGGGAGAATTTTAACTTTAAATCAGTTCAGTTAAGCAAATCTGGGCCAAAAGAGGCAAGTCAACCTCAGTTATCCAGAGCAATCAGGATGTGGAGGCCAAGACCTCCCTGAGATGTGGGGTAAGTGGGGTGCAGGCTGCCTCCCCTCCCTGTTCCCCAGATCTTTGGGGCTTCCTGGCCAGAGCTTGAGCTAGGGCTGGGGTCACTAGGAAACTTGCCTCCTTTTAACACTAACCAGCTCACGCGTCCAAAGGGCTGCAAAGTGGGGGTCCACAGGCTGGGTTCCAGCCAAGGATACGTTTCCTCTGCCCTGTGATATTTTCAAATGTTGGACACTCCGTGCCCAAATATGGATTTTCTCCTAAGGAGTCTGAAGGTCTGAACCCTAGGCCTTTACCCTCTCGGCAGCAGCCGGCAGGCCTGGGCCCTGTTCTCTGTTCCCTTAGTCCCTGCAAATCTCCACTGCACCCTAGCTCGCCTGTCTGAGCACTGAAGGCCACCCTCTCGAGGCCCCGGCTAGAACGTCTAGGGTACTGAGGGTGGTGACCTGCCCAGTCCCCGGCTGGTCCAGGCCTCACTCCTGCAAGGGTGCGCTATCCACTGCCCCTGCAGCCTCCCACTGAGGACTGTGTGCTCCGGGCACCTGGGGATGGAGGTGAGGTCAGCAACGAGCTGCAGAAGGTGGGGAGCCTGGCCACTGTCTAGAGCAAGGCCATCCAGGCAGTCCCCGCTCTGATCTGGGAGCATTCAGTGCATCTTAGAGCTCCAGGCCCAGACCCAAGGCAGAGCTCTGGAGCTTTCCAGGCTCTGCCACCACACCTGAGGGGGGTGGGT